AAGAACCAAGATGCATTATGTAAAGGTACAATTCCCAATGAGAAATGTAATTGTGTTGTATACCTACAATGTACCAATAAAAGAATTTAATTAAAAAAAAACAAATGCCACCACATCTCACAAAATTTGAAGACTAGCTCAGGGGAAGGAAGAGACTGAGTATACACTGCAGCTTTTTCTTTTTTGCAGTTAATTATTTGCAGTGACAACAAATTAGTCTTTATTCACTCCCACTCATCCCCATACAGCCATACAGCTGCCAATCACATTGCCAGAACTTGGGGTTTTTAGCAGAGCATTTGCCTGAAAGGAGAGAATGGTGAGGTAAATTCTGTTTTAGGGAGGGGCTAGGAATGCCAGCAATCAAAGGTGCTTCAAAACCGAGGTGACACTAGGAGTCTTCTACTTGCTCAGATTCCTTCAGGTTGGTGATATACTAAATACTCAGATGACCCTGGGGAAAATGTTAGTGTTTGTCGCTTTGGAGAGTGCGGTATTCAAAAGAGAGAGGAGAGAGAGAGAGACAGGAGAGAGAGAGAGAGGATGAGCAGGAGGGGGAGTTTCAAATATCTGTTCATCAGAAATTGTTTCAGGATTATTATAACATTTCATAGTAGAAAGAAAATGAGTTTTGTGACATGGAAAGTATATGTTGTTGAAGAGTTAGTTGGTTGTTTAACTTATGAATGGAGAACTAACAGCGTTTACCAATGAAGTAAGACATACATTAGGTTACACGTATATCTCATTTTTACGGATCCTGAAATGTAAATGTGTTCGTTGATGTTCCTGTCCACCTCCAATTTCTGGGAGTAGGAATAGGAAGTAAACCGGATTTCCTGGGGGGGGGGGAGGAGCTTGTGATCCAGAGACCTAATTTCCGAAGCTTACAGTTGAGTGAGGTTGTGCCGCTTCTCTCTGGAAACGTATGACGTCACAATCAGCTGCACTGGAGTGGGGAGGTTTAGAATGTTGAGAGTCTGGCGTGATACCTTGCTCATTAAATGAGGGGAGCTCCTGCATGTTGAATGAGGAGTACCTCAACTGCCCTCTCTCAGTCCCACACAAAGTAGGCAGGGACAGCTTGGTGAGGACCGTAGGAAGACTGACTTGCCGTGAGTAGATTTGTGCCCACAATTTATATAAATAAGGAGAGATGGTGGTAGAAATCATTTTGGTCCACCTAAGGGTTTAGAGTGAAGGTGGAATCATGTATTTCATTGCTTTCATATATCACTTTGGGTTTTAGGAATTTCTTAAGGAAAGTTATAATTTGTGAGGATTTTTTTCCATATAGGAGATAAGAAGGACTTTATAAGAATTTTGCATTAATCAGAGAAGAAATCTCTGATTAATGAATAACCAGGACCAAGAAACCTAAAGGTAAGAGCAAGTTTCATTTTTTTCCTTTATTTTATTTTATTTTATTTTTTGTGACAAATCATGTTTTGAAAATTCCGAACTGTCTCAGCCTATGGCTGCTTTTGTTGACAGTTGCCATAACAAACTGGTACAGGCAGGCGGATGGGCAGATGCTGCAGATGAATAGGTACTGTAGATGGGTCTCCAACTCTAGTCCTCTACCTCATTGTTTTCTTGTTTTTCTTACATTTGTTCCCTTTTGTGTAACTCCTGTGTCATTTGCTTATTCAGATCATCTTACAGACACCCCTGGCCAGTTGCAATGGTCTCCTTAATCAACCTCCCTGTGACCTTTCTCTGCCTCCAATCTGCTTTGAATACATCAGCCATAGTGATCTCCTCAAAACACAGTAATGATCTCACTCAAAAATAAACACATTTATAAATGAAAATGACTCTCCACTTTCTGATTCCAAACTCCCAATCCTGACACTGAAACCTCATTCAAATCCACTCGTAATCTGCCTATCGTGAACATTCACCTCCCTACCAACATTCCTTAACTTTCAAGAAAACTGAACTGCTGATGATTATTTCCTAGGAGTAACTTTACCTTCTCACTGCTGTGTTTTCACTTGGTGTTTACTTTTGGCATAAAATGGCCTATGTTCATCCTCCTAATTTCACAGTGGTATGGACCAGAGGCCCAGGCTACCTCTCATGTAGAATTAAGTGGCTCCAGGGCCCAACAGTATAAGCAGTTGTTTATTGTATGTATTTGTATTTAACGCTTTTTCTTACCTATTTGATTGCAATTTCTTTGAAGATGGTTCCCATGTTATTTTTTTCCTAGTACTTTATGACAAATAGGAGTTCAAGACTACTGTTGAGTTTTTCAGCAGAAACATACTGAAGAGGCGTCAGATCAAGTGCTCCCCAAGAGCTACTATGCATGCATTCCCTGAGGGCTCTACCTTTCCCAAAAAAGGAAAACTGGGAGCCAGCATGTTCCCCATGTTGTTAACAGTCTCTGATCCAATTCTGTTCCATGTTATTCTGGTAGCTGCTCTGTTGGCTCCTGCTCTTGGTGACTGTGGTCCTCTACCCACTCTCCCTTTTGCATCCCCAGTCATGCAGTCATATGGGACAAACTTCAAAACTGGAATTGCTCTGAGATACAACTGCCACCGCGGCTACTGGAGAGTCAACTCAAGCCATGTTATTTGTGATATTAATGGATCATGGTTCTACAATGTCTCTTGTGCCAAGAGGCAATACAGACACCCAGGAGAGTTAGCCAATGGGAAAGTAGAAATTATTACTGATCTGCTCTTTGGTTCAACCATAGAATTCAGCTGCTCAAAGGGATACAGCCTCATTGGTTCAGCAACTAGTCAGTGTGAGAGCCAGGGTAAAGCAGTTGACTGGAGCTATCCTCTCCCAGAATGCGTGATTGTCAAATGTGAGTCCCCTCCAGACATCAGCAATGGGAAACACAGTGGTGGAGATGAAGACCTCTATACTTATGGCTCCTCGGTCACCTACATCTGTGACCCCAACGACTCATTCATAGGCAATGCTTCCATTTCCTGTGTGGTGGTGAATAAAACAGTAGGTGTCTGGAGCCCAAGCCCTCCTACCTGTAAAAAAAAGCATCTGTCATCACCCACATATTCCAAAGGGAACAGTTCTTTCTGGATTTGGACTCTTCTACACTTACCAAGACACTCTCTTGATTAGCTGCAACAAAGGTTACATCCTCAAGGGCAGCAGCATGATCCATTGTGAAGCTAACAGCAAGTGGTACCCTTCTGTTCCCACCTGTGAGCCCAATGGTTGTCATGTCTTATCAGACATCCCCCATGTTTCCTGGGAGAAAAGTCTGTTTACCATAAGGAATCAAGAAGCATTTGAGATTAGGACACAGGTGAAATATCAGTGCAAGCCTGGCTATCGACCAGCTCCGAATGAGCCTCAGACTGCCATCTGTCAGGAAAATTTGACATGGGCAGTTTCCAAAGGGTGTGAAAGGGTGTGTTGCCCAACACCAAATATGGGGAAAATGAGAATCATAAGTGAAAGCAGAGATCTCACTGGTATATGTGTCTACTCCTATGAAGATTATGTTCTCTACATGTGCGATGAAGGGTATTACCCTATTTCTACTGATGGAAGGAGTTCATGCCAAGCAGATGGCACGTGGAACCCTAAAATGCCAGCATGTGAGTCAGGTTTCAGATACGATTCCATCATAGCTGGGTGTCTGAAACCAGAGATAAGAAATGGAAAGCTGTCTGTAGAGAAGGATCACTATATTGAAATGGAAAATGTCACCAATCCAGTGTGACCCGGGTTACGAGGTGGCCGGTCCCCAAAATATCACTTGCTCAGAGAACAGAACCTGGTATCCAGAAGTACCCAAGTGTGAGCAGGAGGTCCCCGTAGACTGCAAACAAGTAGTTGTGGGCACAAAGCTCATGGGGTGCCTCCCAAGCCCAGCTGAAGTGAAAATCACCCTGGAGGTGTACAAGCTGACTCTGAAGGTTAAACAGCTAGAGAAAGAGATATACATGAAGACTCTGAGAAATTTCCTAAAAAAGGAATAAAGCAGTCATTTTTGTCTTTAAATTGACACACAGAATCCCCACTTACCAACTCCACTTGTACTTAGCACCATTACTCATGTTAATAACTTTCTGGGTTTGGAAAAATTCATGTGATTATTGTTGGAAATTGTAATTATTGATTACATAGCTTTTGGCTCCAGTGTCCTCTTGACTCTGTGTGCTGGTTAAATAAATGTTCATTTATCGAACATCAAAAAAAAAAAAAAGACCTGGCATAATTCTTTCTTAAATGTTCAGTAGAATTCATTTGTGAAATTAGCTTGTTTTGGTTTTTACTTTCTTGAAAGGTGTTTGGTTACTGATTCAATCTCTTTATTGTTTATTGATCACCCAAATCTTCTATGCTACATGATTCAGTGTTGGTAGGTTTTATGTGTCTACAAGTATATATATATATATATATATATATATATATATATATATATATATATTTATTCTAGATTTTCAGCACTTTTTCTTTCTGGGCTTTTATAATTCTTTGTATAGTATTTCCCTTCTATCAGTTATGTCTCTTCTTTTATTTCTGATTTTACTCGAGTTTTCTCTCTCATCTACTCCAAAAGCCACCTCTTAGTTTCATATATTCTTGTCATTTTTAATTTACTTTTTCTCTAATCTTTATTATTTGCTAGATTTGTGCTTAGTTTGTCCTTCTTTATCTAGTTCCTTCATGTGAAAAGTTAAATTGTTTTAGCTTTCTTTTTAAAAATGTAGGCCTTTTTAAACTATAAACCTCCTTCTTGGACCTGCTTCTGCTGCATTGCATGATTTTTTTTCCCCTTAAATTCTTTTATTGGTATATTTTAGGTATACAGCACATTTACATTTATCACTGAGGGCTTGTACCTCTACATGATGTATCTTGGTTCTTATTTTTTCCCCATTACCTGTGAGGCCATCACCCCCTCCACCCTTCCCTATTTACATAGCTTTTGTTTTCATTTTTTTTCTTTTCTCACAATTTTTCACTTCCCTTCTTTCCTTTCCCCTTCCCCTCCCACTGCCCCTACCCCTTTGGACCTTTTCTTCCTGTTTCAAAATATCAATTATTTGATTTAATAATTTTAACCCTTATTTATACTTTCAGTTTCTTATACTAGAGAAACTATTTGGTATTTACACATGTGTCCTATTTATTTCACTTAAGAGTATCGCCTCAAAATGCATCCATTTAGCTATAAATGTCTTCAGTTTCTCATTCTTTATGGCAGAGTAGTACTCCATTTTATAAAAAAAAACCACACACATCTTTTTTGTCTAGTTTCCAGTTGATGGGCACTTCGACTGTTTCCAAGCTTTAGCTATGGCAAAATGTGCCGCTATAAACATGGGTGCACATATATCTCTGTGGTATGATTCTTTTAATTCTTTTGGAAAGATAACCAGCAGGGCAATAGCTGAGTCAAATGTGACCTCTAGTCCTAGTTCTTCGAGGTATCTCCATACTGATTTCCACAGTGGTTGTACCAGTCTGCACTCCCACCAACAATGGAGTAGGGTTCCTTTCTTCTCACACCCCCACCAGCATTTGTTATTGGTTGATTTCTTGATAGCAGCCATTCTTTCTGAGGTGAGGTGGAATCTCAGTATTGTTTACTTATGCATCTATCAAATGACTAGTGGTGTTGAACATTTTTTCATATATTTATTTCCTGCTTTTACTTCTTTGTCTGAGAAATGTCTGTCCATTTCAGATGGTCATTTCTGAATTGAGTTTTTGAATTTGGGGGGGGTCTGATTTTTTTCAGTTCTTTATATATTCTAGATCGTAGTCCTCTGGCTGAGGTACAGCTGCTAAAATTTTTTTCCCACATTGTAGGTTGTCTCTTAGCTCTGTTGGAGGTTTCTCTTGCAGTGCAGAAGTTTTTTAATACGATGAGATACCAGTTGTTGATTCTTTGTGCTAGATCCCATGTTACTGAGGTTTTGTTCATAAAGTCTTTTCCTTTTCCAATGTCTTCAAGAGTTCTACTTAACTTACCTTCCAGCAAGTTTAGTGTTTCTGTCTTAATATTTAGATCTTTAATCCACTTTGACCTTAGTTCAGTGCATGGTGATAGGTATGGGTCTAGTTTTAATCTCTGACAGGTTGAAACCCAGTTTTTCCAACATCATTTATTAAATAGGCTTTCCTCCAATGTGAGTGGTTGGCTCCTTTGTCAAAGATGAGGTGGCTGAGTATGTCTGGAGTTGTTTCTGCATCATCTAATCTATTCCCCTGATCCTCAGGTCTGTTTCTTTGCCAGTACCATGGTGTTTTTATTACAGTAGCTTGATAGTATAGTTTCAAGTTGGGGTTTGTGATACCTCCTGCCATGTCTCTGTTGCTTAGAATTGCTTTTGCTATTCTAGGTGTCTTCTGGTTCCAAATGAATATTTGGATTGTTTTCTCTAGTTCTGTGAAGTATATTGCTGGAATTTCAAATCAGCATTGCATTAAATCTATATAGCAGTTTTGGAAGTATGGTCATTTTCACTATATTGGTTCTTCCTATCCAGGAACAAGGGATGCCTTTCCATTTTCTTATATCCTCTTTGATCTCTTTTTTCAGAGTATAGAGGCCTTTTGCTTCCTTTGTTAGATTGATTCCTAGATATTTCATTTTTTTGGATGCTGTGCAAAAGGAATTATTTACCCAATTTCTCTCTCAGTGAGTCTGTTATTTGTGTATAAGAAAGCTATTGCTGTTTGAGTGTTGATCTTGTATCCAGCTACTCTACTGAATCTATCAATTAAGTGTAGAAGTCTTTTGGTAGAGTTTTTTGGGTCTTCTATGTAAAGTATGATATCATCAGCAAATAATGACAGTTTAACATTGTCCTTTTCTATCTTTATTCCTTTTATTTCTTTGTCTTTTTTAATTGCTGTGGCTAATGTTTCCAGAACTATATTGAACAGGAATGATGATGGTGGGCATCCTTGTCTTGTTGCTGATTTTAGCTTGAAAGTTTTCAGTTTTTGACCATTTAGTAGGATGTTGGCTGTTGGTTTTTCAAAGATAGCCTTAATAAGGTTGCAATAAAGACATTCTATTCCAATTTTCTGTAGGATTTTTATCATGAAAGGTTTTGGCTTTTGTCAAATGCTTTTTCTGCATCTATTGAGATGATCATATGGTTTTTGTCCTTGACTCTGTTAATATAGTGTATTACATTTATTGATTTATGGATGTTGAACCATC